AATACAATATATACAGATGATGTGTTATAGAAATTGTACACCTGAAACCTATGTAATTGTATTAACCAATGTCACACCAATGAATTCAATAACAATTAAAATCAAGTGGAATTTCTGGCATTTCATCAATATCACATTTGACCAGGTCTGGGAAAGAAAGAATAAGAAACTGTTAGAGGATAGAAAATGCGATTGAAACATGACCAATCTTCCTTCAGTGTCAAAGGGTGGAAAAGGGAACAGTAAACATGAATGATAAATGCTTAGTTTTAAAAGAAGCAAGGAAATGTCCAGGTTTTCAATAAAGTTGTAGACTTCTATCATCTCCAAGCACAATTTGGACAAAACCACAGCTCGTCCTGTCCTTCATTCTTAAATAGAATCTTTTGTCTTCACACCTTAAGTCTCTTCAAGTCTCTCCTTTCCCTTCCTTTCGATTAACCTACTACTGTGGGAGTTACATGGAAAGCACATCTATATGTCTCCTCCTCTCAAAAATTTGTCTTTAGTACATGTTTATTACACATCTGCTTCTGCTGCATTGGACAAAACCCTTTGAACGTTTTCCATTTCCTCACCAACCACCTCCCTAATCTTCCAAGTCCTCTTCTCTCCCCCTCTGTCCAACTACATTCTAGACTCTTTCTACATTACTTTATTGAAATGGTGCTAAGAACACCAGCCATCGCCTTTTAGATAAATCACACAGTATAAACTCTGCTCCTTCTCAAAACACTCTCCCTTGACATTTTCTTTTTGCTTATCCTTTCCACTTTATTTGTTGCCACCCCTTACTTTTTTCCCTTTCTCTAATTTAATATTTACTCTCTGCTTGTTTAACAGTTGATTCATAAATTTAATCCTCAACTATGACTTCAGTGGAGTCCAAACTGTGTGTTTTTTCCCCTTGTTGTTTTGCGTATGTTTTTGCCTTCATCTCTCCCAGTAAATAACAATGTAGGAGCTCTTTCATACGCTAAATTTAATATGTGTAAAACTGACATGATGTACAAAACTGATTTCCCTTTCTCATTCGTGTAGTTTCCACAAATGAATTCGACATACAGTATTCTATAGACAACAAGGATGGCCACTCATGTCTCATCACTTGGTTGGCAAAATGACATGGAAAACTAGGTATCCTTTAGAGAGAGCACAGCCCTAAGTGAATCATCACATTATTGCCCAAAGGTGTAGCATGCTTAAACTCATGCCCATGCAAAGCCCATAAAAAAACATTGCAAGAAGTCAACATAGAAATTGTGTAATTAAATAAAATATTCGATCCTTCCATAGCCATGTTAAATTTAGAGCTAAAAACGAATCACTCCAATTAGCTGTGAAATGAAAAAAATTCCCCAGCCTAGCCTGAGGGCATGTTGGAAGAGACAAAAGTAGCTTTTGGTCTTCTTAACTCATGCCAGCCCTTCCTCACCAAGGTGCTTTTGCTTTTGAAAATTGTTTTCAACTCCAGATGATTACTCTAATGACCTTTAAGTATTTCTGTGAGTGACCCTGATAATGATAATTTGAAATTTATTTCTGTATATTCAATGAAGAGCCTATTTTTGTTCAATTGTTTTCAAATGTTCTCACTAAGATGCTATATATGCTTTATGACACATGACATATGTTGACAGATAAGCATAGATTCTTAGGCCTCAATTAAATATACTGTTCGGTGTGTAAGTTTTGCTTAATTAAAATTTGATATTAATTGAGGTTACTCTGCAACAAACTTGTGTAAAATTGTACAATTGAGAACTATATGAAAACTAATATTTGTCCCCCTTTTTGCCTTAGCAAATGTAGTTACTATTATTGATGCCTGAAGATCTTACAGTGCTTTAGAGAGATCATGAAAAGGTTTGTAATTTATGCTGCAGAAAGAAATGAGATTGGTTTAAATGTATACTGATTCTAAACTTATTTAGGGTTGCTTTAATTTGTGATTTTCTCTCCATGCTTGAGACAGCTAATTGATTTCAGGTTAATCAATAATTTTCTGAACACAGAAATATATATATACTTATAACATTTTATATTATTAAACAATCATAGTTTCTATGAGAATCATATACATTCTCATTAAAATTTACTCTGTCCATTATCCCACAAATGTTTTTTTTCTTTATTTTATAAAACAAAATTCTTTTCCAAATTTAAATACTTAAATTCACAGATATTCTTCTCATGTTCACACAACCATCAGGATTCCATTATGAAAAAAATTGGTGGAGTCGGAGGGGTATGCAGATAAAAGCTGTCTTCTTATTTTTTGTTTCTCTTAATTTATCTTATCCAAGATTTTAAGAGCTTTTTCATTTCCTTCCCTTTTTGTAAAATTTCAGAACATTTCTCATTGCAAAATATCATTACAGTGCTCTGACCTTTTGGTAAACCATGTAATGTAACATTACTTACTTTACATAATTTGTATAATTTATGCCTGTCTAGCATATCATATCTCTAACCTTACCGCTAATCCAGGGACATTTTCTATCAGGTTTAGTCAACTTTAAAAGGGTGTAAATTTTAACAGCACAGAAAAATGTTATTTTGCTCTCAAGGTGTTTTAGTTAATAAATTGGAGAAATATATATGTAATATAGTACTTTTATTATTATTTGGCTCTTCTCAATGAGATTGAAATTTTGAAAATAAATATTTGTTGTCTAATTTTTCTGTTTATATTTATCAGAAAAACATACATGTAAAAATGATGACACAGTTGATTAACTTTTAATGGAATATAATATTTTGAGTAACAATAATGGGATTCCAGCATGTCTTTATGACATGATTATCATGTTGAGCTATGGCAAAAACAATTTCAACTGATTTGTTGTCTATTAGAATGAAGCATTTTACTTTGAAACTTTTAAATTATATTACTGTTTGGATACTTGAAAAATAAAAATTGAAAATAATTTTTATATTTTATTATTAAAATATTTTTATTATTAAAAATATTTATTTTTATTATTAAAATAGTAAAGTATTTTTGTATTTACTGAGGGCTAAGAAGCAAAAGAAGACCACTTTATCTCCCTTTACCATTTTTTTCTGTCACTTATTTCCAGATCTCCTAGGAAAAAAGGATCTATGCATGTCTGGCAAAATTTTAGGGACAGAAATGGTCTGGCTAATGGTGATCTGGCTAATGTCACTCTATCTCTCCAATAGGATATTTAGGGTTCCTGAATACTGGAGGCCATATTTTATGTATTACTAAAGTTAAATTATATATAATTTTGAGATAAATTTTTGTGTCAGCAGCACTGTTAGAACTTACAAGTGAAAGATGAGAAATAAGAGAAAATAAATAAGACAAATAATAATGCCATTAAATGAGATGGAAAATATAGGGAGGTGCATATTGTTCTAGTAAAATTTTATTTCCAAATTTCTAAAAAACACTAGAAAACATTTCAAAAGTTTACCAACTTATTTTATCATATTTCTTTAAAATATTTAGAAATTAGACAAAATAGATATTTCATGTTATTCTATGTTTTCAAGCTATTCAATTCTCTCTCTCTCTCTCTCTCTCTCTCTCTCACACACACACACACACACACACACATGCGCACACACAAATAATTTATTCTCAAGGACAGCCCACTGTTGGCCAGGTTAATATCACAATCCTGACTCTTATAATAGTTTGCAATCCCAGAAATGAATACAGTTGGATGTTTGGTGTGGGAAGAGAGTATAATCAAAATCATAAAGTAGAAGTTATAGAAAAAACAAGATGGAGAACAGAGGGGTTTACCAATTCTACTCCTAGTTAGGAATCACTAAACAAAAAAACCAAAGGGTTCTCTATGTTAATCATTAGATTAACATACATGTAAAAATGGGATTCCAGCATGGCTACGAATATGGATAATACAGTCTTTATGACATGATTATCACACTGAGTGTTTTTCGATGTCAGTGTAAAGGTTGAGAGTGACATGTTCTACTTGGTAAGATGTTTTTTTCCACAATGAGTGCAGCAGAGATTCTCAGCAAATTCGGCCAGCATTTTAGCATACTGAGTACAGTGCATGCTAAGTGGTAAATAATCTGCTATGTAAATATTTGGGGCTTTTCAATGAAACAAATAACTCCTTTTTAAAATAGCCTACAGAAATTGAAGCTGCTCACTCTGAAATTCTTTAATAAGTTGTTTGGAGAGTTTTCATGTTTCTTACCTTTGAAGATACATAGTCACCTCCTAATAAAAGAAACTACAAATGTTTTTTTCAGTCATCTAATGCAACTCAACTTTTGTTTGCATTATTTGAATAATTTTCAGCATTATTCCATGGGTCTTACTGTAACATACTGTCTGTTGGATACCAATTAGTTGATACATGAGGGTGGTTGTTATATATAATATAATAAACATGACCAACTCACTTATTTTGGTATAAACCTTTTTCTGTACTCTAGAGAATATTGTTGGTTAAAGCCAAAGTATAAGTAAAGCTATCTATATGTAAATGCAGATGGCTTCACTCTGAAGCAAAAAAGTTAGAAAAGTACAAAATGTGCTGACTTTATAAAAATGCTTAAAACTTGTTTTAGTTTTCTATTTCTTATATTATGAAAACTTTTTACTTTATAGATGTTACCTAATTAGTAGATCACAAACTTTGCCGTAATGGTTTGCAAATTAAAGAAACATGTATTCTTCATTTCTTTCTCAAAACAACAATTTGAAGCTCTCTATCCTCTAACAGGGGGAGATTTAGTGGAATCTCCACATAAATAAAGTGTGTACAAGAATTTTTAGAAGAACTATGATAGTTGTATATTGGTAAATAATGAAAAATCTATTCTCTTTGCCATTTTTACTACTTATATGATATAACATGCTGACCTATTTGCTAAATTTAGTATTGATTGTTTCTTATCCCTTAATAAGTATATTTAAGTTTATTTAATTTGTTATGTAATTATTTGGACCTTTAACTAATTTTCTTTTTCTTTTTCTTTTCTCTCCCCAGAAAGGACGGTATTATGAACCCAATCTAAACTTCCTTTCCTCAGTTTTAAACTTTGGTTGCTTAACACTGAAGCAATCATGGTGAACTTAAGGAAAGCAGTGCACTCGTTCCTGTAAGTATGCTATTACTTATTTTTTTTCAAAAGATAACTTTTTTATGGTAGCTGGCTCAAAAATGTTAAACAGGCTTTTATATGATCATTCAGCCATATTTACCTCAATCTTCATAAATGACTTTTGTTTCAATAGACTAATTGTATACGTGTTTCCTATTCAAAAGCAATAAATGGAGAAAAACCCTGTAATTTGAACTCCAGTTAAACACAACCACTCATGCATTCAAACAAGTAATATGGTAATTATACCTTAGATTCAAAAACAATCCCAATGCCCACGATTGCCTTCACCATGGTTAAAACATAGAAGTGAGAAGATACTTTCCTTTTTCCATCATGAACTGAACCAAGAAAATAAAATGTCTTTATAAGTCTCTGGTTTTATATAAAATATTTGAGGTTGCAAAAGAACGCATCAGAAGTCAGGGAGTTGGGGTTGGGCGGTGTAGCTAGACAGAGGAAAACAATTCAATTTTTGGAAGTCTTGATGCAATGACCCAGTAGTTAAAACTAATACAATGTAACATAAAGGGTATAAGTAAAGAGTTGAATTCAAATACTGGACAATTCTAAACATGATGTAACCCAGTCATATCTTCTTTTTAACTTAACAAAATATAGGGTTTGTTTCTTCTAAACCTACTCTTTGAGGAATGGGGCATTGAAAACAAAAAAAGATCCAGTTCTCTGTAAACTGACTGGTACAGTGGAGAAGCCTTGAATTGCCTTGCTTTACACAGTCTCCTCTATAATTCCTGTAAAAGCTCACCCAGGAACAAAGTTTACAGAGCAGTGTAGGTATAAAGAACATCATCTCCAGTATGCACCATTATAGCCCATCTTGGATGTCACTGCTTATTGTAGTAATGATAGTCTCAATGATGTGTGGCTCCAAGAGAACTAGAGCAGATGGGGAAAGGAAAGGGTAGACAGTGATAGCAGAGTCAGATCAGACAGATCAGCAGAGTCAGGTGTAAGAAAATGAAAGGACAAATGTTTCATGCACCTGTGTCAACCCTGTTTTGGGCATTGGTCTATATAGCAGAATGTAGGGTTACTTTAAAGTGTACCGAAATATTCTGGTATGAAATTAAGAAATTCATATCACCTTTTTCCATCCTATTAAGAGAAACAGAGAGCATTCATCTCTTCTAATAATGCTCATTGTCATATGCCATGGAAAAACTCAGTAGGTTTAAAATATACTCAGACTTTTAAATTAAATTATCATTTTGTTTAGCTACTATGCATGTAAAATTATATTTCATTAAAAATTTAGTAGCAATGAATAAATTATTTGCACGGTTCCAAAGAACTTGTGATTTTTGAGCATATATTTTATGAGACTTCTGTGGCTTAATGGCAATTCATATAGCTTTAGAAGCAAGACCTAAATTACTCCTCTTTTGTAAAAAGACTGTATATATTTCACTGAGGATGCAATATTTGAAGTTAGATTTAATTATAATACAGCCATGTTTTATTACAAAACTATAGAAAATAGCATTGGACTACAATAAAACTCATAATACTTTTCCCATAAATAGTACTCAGTAATAATTTATTAAATTGAATTGAAACCAGGGAACTAAAGTAAATACTCTTTCAGGATCTTTCCCAGCACCATTACTTTATTTTATAATTCACAATAGATTTCTTTCTTTATTTTAACAATAGATATATTTATATTCTACAAGCTTCCTTAGTAATTTAGTATTTTTTAAAATATATTTTATTGGTTTCAGAAATGAAGGAGGAGGGAGAGATAGAAACATCAATAATGAGAGAGAATCATTGATCGGCTGCCTCCTGCACGCCTCACGGCATGCCCCACACTGGGAATTGAGCCTGCAACCTGGGCATGTGCCCTGACCAGGAATCAAACCATGACTTCCTGGTTCATAGGTCGATGCTCAACCACTGAGCCACTTCAGCCGGGAAGTAACTCAATATTTGTTTCATGGGCTTTTTAATAAAATTTATGTACATCTGACCAATAGAGTTATACTTCAAGTGGTTTTCTACCCCAAAGTTCTAAGATACTCAAATTATAAAATTCATAATTGAACATAGTTTTTTATGTTATGTGCATTTTTGTTATGTGCAACTTTATTCTGCATTCCTCCACTGTTTTTAGAGAAATATGGAAAGGATTTAGATGTTTTCACAACTTCCTTCAAAAATGTGAGGTGGACTGCATATTCTGTTAGGACTTTATTCTCTAGGCTTAGGGATAAATATATTATCTGTGGTTCTGCAACTGACAATTGACGATGCAGTTGATTATTATGAACATAAAGTCTTGTAGGGCTATTTGTAATGATCTCCACATAATTTAAAGCAGAAAAAAAAACTTGATACCAGAGGGACAAGTTTTTTATTAAATAGGCCAGAAAAGACCCTGGATTTAAAATTACTATCTGAACCTAGTCCTGCATAAATAAGTGTTATTTTAAAATAAAATCAGGACTTAAATTCTTAAAAAATTTTAAAATATGTGAATTGGGGTATAGTTACCATAAAATCCTTCTGTTTAACTTTGAAAGCAGGAAGAAGGTAGCTCCAACATTTACTCAGGGCTTATTATCACAGAGGTACTATTTTCAGGGCTTTGCACATATCATTTAATTTTCACAATAATCAGGTTATAGAGATCATCCTCTTGGACAGATGAGGAAATTTATGTTGTAAGAGGTTAAGTGACTGGTCAAAAATTATTGAGGTCATGTAGCCAGGACATTGGCCACGTGCCATATGCAACAAATACAGTGACAGGATAATCAACACTAAGAACAAATAACTTGCTTTTATTTATTTGGTCCTTTATTTCAATAAATTTTATTCATATTAATCAGATTAATTATGGTCCAGATTATTTGAATCACATATTATTTTAGCTTCTTTTTTATATTCCAGAAAATAATATGGCCTACATTTGAATTTACTGATTATTTCTCAATATTTGATAAAAATTACTATGTGTGTCTCTTCCCATCATGTTGCTTAGAATATGTTACCTTTGACTAATGAGAAGCTTGTTTTTTAAGCTAGATGTCTGAAGTATTAGTTTTCTATCCTTTGTAAAATGATAGTCAAAAATTTTTGACTCCTTCATTATCTTAAAATACATAGTATATTAACAAGATAATAGAGAAATAATTTTTATTTTTTTATTTTTTAAAAATATATTTTATTGATTTTTTACAGAGAGGAAGGGAGAGGGATAGAGAGCTAGAAACATCGATGAGAGAGAAACATCGATCAGCTGCCTCCTGCACACCTCCTACTGGGGATGTGCCCGTAACCAAGGTACATGCCCTTGACTGGAATCGAACCTGGGACCTTTCAGTCTGCAGGCCGATGCTCTGTCCACTGAGCCAAACCGGTTAGGGCAGAGAGAAATAATTTTTAAATGTGCTATAAAATGATTATAATATTTTACTTACATTTAAATAATGACAATAATTTTTCAGACTGCTACAGTTTTGGTTCACAAAGTATGATGTGCATGTATGTGTGTATGAATAATCATATAGATATGATTATTATAATCATAAAATAATAGCAAACACTATACATAGTGTAATTGCTGCTTAATATTCATTAGATATCTGTTACTGAATATAAAACACATGTAAGACAGTCATGCACAGATAACTCTTGATTTTAAGCAGGAAAATTTTAATATGCTTGTTTGCCTTATCTATTTTATTAAAATAAATGTTTTATTAGACACATTATGAACTTACACTTTGAGAGGACACTTAATGAATGTAATTTGAATAAATCATTACAGCAAATGAAGCAATAGCATGGTTTCAGATTACTTGCATAGAGTAAAAATTTAAAACACAGGCTTTGAAATCAGTGAAACCTGAGTATTGACCCTTCCCCTGCCACTTACTGGCTATATTGCCTTGATAAAGTTACTTAATCTCTCTGAACCTCAGTCTCCTCATCTACATAATGGATATAAATTAGTACTGACTTCATGAGGTTGTTTTATGAGATCAAATGAGATTATAGATATACTAGAGGCCCAATGCATGAAATTTGTGCAAGGGGCTTGGCCCTTGCAGCCCCGGCTTCGTCTGGAAGGTCGTCTGGATGGTTGTTTGGCCTAATTAGCATATTAGCTCTTTATTATATAGAATACTTCAGTAAGCTAAGTGCCTAACTCATAATAAACACTAAACAAAGAGTATTCTTTGGATAGAAAATATACTGAGGTTTAATTAAAAGAGTAGATATGATAATGATGATGATGATTACTATTGAAGGAAAAGCAATTGTTTTGTATAAGCCATTTGTTGTGTTTAAGCAAAATAGGGTGGGGCAAAAGTAAGTTTACAGTTCATATGGAAAATAATACGATAATTAATAAATAATAATGCAAGAATAAACTCTGTGCTTTGCATATGCACAACTATAAACCAACTTTTGACCCACCCGGCTTTATAATAAGTGTCTGATTTTTTTCTTTCTTAATTTTCAGTGTGCACCTAATCGGCCTATTGGTTTGGCAATGCGATATTTCTGTGAGCCCAGTTGCAGCCATAGTAACTGACATTTTTAATGCCTCCGATGATGGACGCGTCGGAGTTCCAGGCGGGGTACAAAACTGGCCAGCACTTGCAATCGTCATAATAATAATATTGACGATAGGTGGCAACATTCTCGTCATCATGGCAGTACGCTTTGAAAAGAAGTTGCACAATGCCACCAATTACTTCTTAATGTCCCTAGCCATTGCTGATATGCTAGTGGGACTACTTGTCATGCCAACTTCCCTGCTGGCAATCCTTTATGGTAAGTACAATTTTATTAGTTTTTCAGTCTCAGATTATGTTATGAATTTGTGTCAGGTATCACAATAAACATTCATAAAGTTAATTATTTTGCTCGTATCATTTGAAAAGTGAAGAAAAAACAAATTGTGTGGCCGATGGAATTGGATGTATATGTAATATTTATTAAATAAATCAGTAACAGTCTTCAAAAATCAAAACAGACATTTCATAACATATTAAGATGATAGATAGATACTCTACTGTTCAGTGTTATCTACAATGACAATTGCCTTATAATGGGACAGAGTCAGAAACACACCATCACCCCTATAATCTGTTTTATATACATAGTACCATATCTTATACAAAGAAAGTGAAAGAGGCTCACATAAAAAATAAACATATTTTAAGTAACCTTTTTTTAATGTTAGCAAACAAAGTGATTGGCAATAATAAGCTCTCAATAATAGCTATCCTTCATGGAGTCTACAGTTTATGTTTTTACTAAGAGACGGGATAAAACATTAATTAGTAATGTATAAATGCAAGGTCACATTACCACAATAAATTTAGGTAATGAAAATTTTTATATATTTATTTATTGGTATGTAGGAGATATTTTTATTTATTTATTTTAATTTTAGTTTTTCCAGCACAATTTATCCCCCTCTACTGTCCTATTCTCCCTCATCCCTCCCTCTCCTCACAGTAACCACACTGTTGTTCATGTCCATGAATTCTTTCTCTCTCTTTTTTTCTCTTTTTTCCCCTCAATCACTCCACACACCCCAAGCTTTGATAAATTTGTTTTAGGGAGGTTTTTAATTTTTATTTTCTACTATCTCTATGCCCTATTTATTTTAATCATAATTTTGCATCTAGCTAATATTTATAATGATCAACCAAAATCACTTCTACAAAACTACAAAGAATCTGTGCTAAGTGAAATAAGCCAGTCAGAGAAAGATAAATATCACATGATCTCACTCACTTATGGAATATAATGAACAACATAAATTGATCATCCAGAGACAGAGAATCATTGATCAGAATGTCAAACCTCAGAGGGAAGGTAGGAGAGGGTGGTAAGGGGGAAAGATCAACCAAAGGACTTGTATGCATGCATATAAGTCTAACCAATGGCCACAGACAACAGGGGGGTGAGGGCATGAGTGGGAGGGGTAATGGAGGGATAAGGACACATATGTAATACCTTAATCAATAAAGAAAAAGAAATTAAGAGTAAAAAATAAAGAGAATCTGTACTAGGAAACTGGAGAACCCAGTTTGGATTTAATTGCTGATATGCTCATCTCACAAAGGAATGAACTAGACTCCTAGTCCCTGAAGTGTATAATGGGATTGGACTAGAAGGAATGATACTGAAAGTGTACCTTAAGTTCTCAAATCCTAAAATATAATCTTTCATGAAACATAAAAATTATTTACTCTGTCCTAAATACACAGTGATAATAGATTATATTAATGGACATTTTATAAATAGTATTCTCTGAAAATCTGCTTTTCTTATCTTTATTGTTTTAATGGTACATTAACCTCAAAGCCTAAGTATTTTACCAGCTCAGTAGCATTTTTTCACTCCATGGTGCCAAAATTATGTAAGAAAAGGTTATTAGAATTAATGTGCAACAGAAAGTATACTTTGTCTTTTACTATCTGTTTCATTTTGCCAGTTTGTCCCTTAAGAATATACGGGTGATCAAAAAATGCATTTTCCTAAATCCAAATCTTATAACACATCCATACTCCCACCCAACAGGAAAGAACAAGAACAATACTACCACTAAATTTAGAGACAAACCAAATTCCAAGTGATCTGTAAGCAGAAAAATAAATAGGAGATCACAATGAACTGTCAGGCTCCTGCCACATGCTGGTGTGTAGAGGAAGGGCAGTCCAGGAAATGCTGCATGAGAGAGAGAGGAGGAAAGTTAGCAGGAAGCTTAAGATTGATGCAAAATCATGCAGAAAAGAAAGTTTACCCTCTGGGGGCTAAAAATAAAATACTTTTCCTCCAACTTTCTAAATTCTTCTAGCTGGGCTAATAATCAAATTAACAATGACAGATAAGCAGGAGGAAATAAAAATTGTAGTATGTGCACAGAGAGAATTCTCATAACCATGGAAATTCCAAAGACAGGAGGCAAAATTGGATATATATGCATTTGGACAAAGGAGAAAAGGAGGGCAATGAGATCTTAGATTTCAAAAATGAGAATGGGCAATTTGCAGGTAGTTAAGGAAGAGCAGAACACACATGGCAGGCAAACTCTTGCTTCAGTGGGACACAGCGAGTGATCTAGCTACCAGGTCCCTACTTGGACCCCTTCCATCTGCCATACTAAATTCAGTTAGGCTAAGGCAAACATCCTAAGATTTCCTTCCTGAAGCAGGCCTTTGCACTGAATTTCTTAGGCAAGAAAGCAGGGGATGGGGGTAAGGGGGTAGGGTGGCAAAGGTTCTTCCTGAGTCATTTATTTCTTAATAAACCAAAGGCACAGTTTCGGGAGTGGCAAAACCTTTGTTTCCTTCAACCTCAAGTATGAAAATTCTCAAGTTTTTCTGGAAGCTCAGCCTTTAGGGAAGTGACTTACAAGTGTGCATTAAGACACAAGAAAGCAATTTTGGAAAAAGAACTTGGAAATTTAAAAGGGTATTAAAGGAAAGGGAGAGTTGAATATTTTTTTTAAATGCACAATGAAGGGAAAAAGAAACAAGAGGGAAAATTTGTCACCCTACATGACCAGGGATGTTAGCTTATAAGGACCAATCAACATCCCCCCCCTTCCAGTAAAGAACCATACTTGTCATACTTGTCATATGGAAAGAAGAGGGAGCTCTTGAGCTTAGAAACCAGCCACAAACTGCCAGCCATGTTCATACAATTCAAAGATGCAACCAAACTTAACCTATACCAAGCAACTACAATAAATATAAATAAAAAAATAAACAATTTAAAAAAATGACAGAGCAGGTGCTCAATAAATATATACTGAATAAATAAATAAAATTCATCAAAATAAAAAAGCAGAACATAAGAATTTTAAAAAGGCATTTGATAAAAATTTTCACTAATAAAAAATAACCAAGGAAAAGAAAAATACTTCAAAATTAATTTCCTCAAACAGGCATTTGAAGGTATGAAAAAAAAAATACCTTGAGGTAGAAACCTAAAAACTAAGAATGAAACAGACAAAAAAATTGGTCAAGCAAAAGTTGATGAACCCAAGACAATAAAATAAAAGAAAAAAGAATAAAATCACATCAGAAATGAATATTAAAGTACCTGAAGAACAACAAATTCATATCAAAACTGAATAAGAAGCATTGAAGCAAAATGAAACAATAGAGAATGAAGGTGAGATCAAGAAAAAGTAAAAGGGGTCAGAATGAAAGTGTTTGAGATGGCCGAAGCCGGTTTGGCTCAGTGGATAGAGCGTCGGCTTGCGGACTGGGGGGTCCCAGGTTTGATTCCGGTCAAGGGCATGTACCTGGGTTGCGGGCACATCCCCAGTGGGAGATGTGCAGGAGGCAGCTGATCGATGTTCCTCTCTCATCGATGTTTCTAACTTTCTATCTCTCTCTCCCTTCTTCTCTGTAAAAAATCAATAAAATATATTTTAAAAAAAAGAAAGTGTTTGAGATGAAAGACCAGAAAAAAGAAATCCACTGTGCATATAATGAGAATTCTTAAAAAGGAAAAAAAAAAGGAACAAATTAATATTTAAAACTATAATTTAAGAAAGATTTTCAGAAATAAAAGAAAGTCTGAATCTATATATTGATAGGTCCAATCCAGTACCAGAAATTTTACCTGGAACAGTCAACTCTAAGATATATTGAGATATTAGATTTTAAATATAAAGGAAAAATCCTCAGGGATTTCAGGCAAAAATAAGGAATAGTTTAGAAGAATGATAGAATTATACTAGCTTCACAGTGAGGAGAAAAAATGAAGCAAAGCAACAGCAAAGAAATATTTTTTTAAAAGGTAAAATTGTTTTTGAAAGATATTAAAAACAAACAAATGTATAAAGACGGAAAACAGACCATTAGTTTCTAGAGCCTAAAGGCTGACTCCAAAGGAGCATTTACTTGGTAATATGGAACTCTTCTATATCTTGATTGTGATGCTGATATATACATATATATATATATATATATATATATATATATATATATATATATATATATAAATTCTCAAAATGTGAACAACCATAAAATTCTATTATGCAGATTTTTAAAAGGGTGAATTTTACTGTAAAATTAAACTTTAAATTAAAATATAGAAAAAATTCTCAAAGTTTGAAACAAACATTTTACATCCAAACAAGTTTGCCATCAAGATTAAAAACTTTATTTTTTTCCTTTTTTCTTTTAAAACTTTAATTTTTTTAAACTTAGAGAATTCTGAAGCCATAAGCTCTTCTTAAAAAATTGAATAGTGAATGGATTCATCCAAAAGAGAGATGATTGGGGAAACTTCAAAAAGGTTGATGATGAATATTTAATATATTTAATTCTAGAGCTAAGACAAAAACAAAAGTGTTATAAAGGCAGAATACCACTGTTATATAATATATATTATTTGTTACATACTCTATAAAATTAGAAACAATGTAATTAAAAATTGGGTGAAGAGAAAAGAGGAAAAAGTAAGTATAATAATCAAAAGGTAGGAGTTAAATAATATAAAAAAACTGACAAACCAGAAAGTAATCTATATCGATATCTATCTATCATCTATATATCTATATCTATATATCTATATCTATCTATATATTTATATCTATATCTATATCTGTATATCTATATATCTATATCTATATCTATCTATATCTATATATCTATATCTATATCTATATATCTATATCTATATCATCTATATCTATATCATCTATATCTATATCTATATCTATATCTATATCTATATCTATATCTATATCTATATCTATATATATAGCTAATATGCCGTGTCCCCTCAGGAGTTTGACCAGG